AAGCCACCTACCCTCAAAGAGATTGGTCCAGTGTCCAGGCATTTTCCAGGACCCTGTTCTCTGAAAATGAACCTTTTTATGAAATTTCTGACATACTTCCTAAGAATAAAAGTTTTGCTCTTGTTTCACTTTTTGAAAAAGATATACATTGCTAAATTTATTTTTTAAATGTAAAGGAGTTAACCAAAGAGAAATTCGCCCACACCCCTGGCAACATTGCTGAAATGACTTTTTTTTGCCCCTTTTATACATCTGTGACCACATCTGCAGGTCAAATTCAGTAATATGAAATCACCAGTTCAAAGACCTTGTGCCTTTTACAAGATGAGATGTACTACCTCATCACCTTCTAATTAAATTTTGAGGAAAGCATATTTAGCAAGTTGACATGAAAATAGTTAATTTTCTGAAGAGCAAAAAAAAAAAAAAAAAAAAAAAAACTAGAAAAAGTTACCCTCAAGGCAATACAGCAATATTATTATGTATATCTGCTTGCTGTTCCATTTGATAAAAAATGTTAATAGCAAATTAAGTCATGAGTGTTCTTGACTCAGTTGAGTTCTTTTAAAGAAGTCATCGAAATAACAAAGGGAAATCAGGGGCTCAGATGCATAAATACACAAAAGAAAGCTGGACCTTAACCCTGAGCTAGTGACTGGCACCTGTGGGAGCAGGGCTTCTGTGTGTCCTGTCTTTGGTGCTGAATCAGTGTTCTGCCAGAAGCTTTGGTTTCCAGCTCCTGGACATTGATGACAAGACACTCCAGGTGCTCTTAGCTTTTCATACATTTTTATGTGGCTGAAATTTTGCATTTGCTGCCCTGTCCTCAAACAAAGTCTGTACTCCATTTCAGTGCCTGGTATATATATACATATATATATATATATATATAATTTTTTTTTTACTGAGGTTTAATACTTATGCAGGTAAGTGCACAAATATGAAGTATATGGCTCAGTCATTTCTCATGTTAACCCCTGTGACTCACTCAGATGTAGACATCCAGCACTCAAGGAATCCTCCTTGTGCTTCCCTCCACCCAATAGCCCCTCAAATGGAGTTGCTATTCTCACTTTTACCAACAAAGATTAATTTTCTCTGTTCCTGAGCTTCAGACAAGCATGATTTCAGTTATTTGTAGTGGGATTTTACATTTACGAATGTGTTACTCTTTTTCCTCTGGGAGGTGGTGGTCTCCCTCCAAGACTCCTTATGCAGATCATCAGAAACGGTGCTTTGGGATAAGTGGCCTCAGAACTTGCCCAACCTAGTCGCTTGCTCAGGGACCTAGCCTCCCTCTTGGGCACTCATCCCACTCTGTCCTCTCCCCACCATAGGGATTTGGAGACCCAGCTGAGGAGCACTGGCTGGGGAACGAGGTGGTGCACCAGCTCAGCAGCAGCAAAAACTACTCTCTGCGCATGGAGGTGGAAGACTGGGATGGCAACATGTTCTACGCCAACTTTGAGCGTTTCCAGCTGGGCAGTGAGGAGCAGTTTTACAGGTGGGTTTAGTGGGTCCTCTGGGGTCCCATTCCAATGGCAGAAGAGTTGGTGGCACAAGCCAGTTCCTGGGTGTCTCCTCCTTCTATCATATGTGCCTGATTTGGGCCCACTTTCCAGGATCTGGAGCCAGGTGGTTAGCTTTCAGGACACTTTGACAACTGAGTCAAGAGAATGGGATGTAGAGAATGTCACTGATGTCATCATCCCCAGACCAGGAAGGGACTTTCCAAGGACTCAGATCCAGAAGGGAGAAGAGTCTTGTCCAGTCTGTGCTGTGCCCGGGGGTGAGGTGCAAAAGTCCCGGGCTGGGAGGCAGGAGACTGTGACTCTTTCTGGCATTGTAGCAGCTCTCACTTGGGTAAATCCAGATCAAGTTGCTCTGAATCTCAGTGTGTCCAAAGCAGAATGATCTTGAGTATGAAGATACTACAAAATCATCACATTTCTGTACTCCTTCCGCAGCCTGGTTTTGGTACGTTTAGGCAAAGAAGTGATCCTGCTGTGGTCCAGACACCCCATTTAATCCCTCCTGCAACACTTTGAGATGGGTATTACTGTGACTACTTTAGTAAATTGGAAACTAAGATACTGAAGTCTCCCATCAAAAGCAATTAGTTAGGTAGTCTGGATTTGAACCCAGGTCTCCTTGCCCCTGGAACTCAATATACATAATGCAACTGTGAGAATCGCTTGTGATGTGTCCTGTCCCCCTGCTTCTTATTGAATGCCCTGATTCCCCCAGTGAGGTGGACCTGACACCTGTCCTTAAAGGACTCTCCCCAACTAGATCACCTTCCTCCTGAAGTGCCACAACAACCTGCTGGCTACTACTTAAGCCACTGAAGCACAGACTGAAATTCTAATGCCACCCGTTTCTCCCTGAGTGACTCTAGGCAGTCTCTCCCATTCTCATCTGTAAAATGGGTTCCCAGGCTGGGGCATGAATGAGATGTTACTCAGAGAGCCTTTACACAGCACCTGCCCACAGTCACTGCTTAGCAAATAGTGTCACAACTGCTGTTCCCATGTCCCCATGGCAGTCCTCCTGGCCTTGGCTGGCCCACCCTTTTTGAACCAGAGCCTGGCTGCACAGTTCTGTGCTGTCCCTGTTCTTGGGCCTGCACATGTTAAATACATAGGAGGATGTGGAGGCGGCCTGCCAAGTCTTTCCCCATGAAGCCATTGAGTCTCCTCTCCTTGACCCAATTCTTGGGCAACAATTCCTGCAGTCCTAAGTCCAGAAGCTGCCATTTGCATGCCTGTGGCAGAAATATCCTAAGAAATATTTCATTCCACTAAAGAACACAGGCCTTGGAGCCAGGCTGCCCAGGGATCAATTCCATGTCATCACTTTTCAGTAATATGCCCTTAAGATAGTTACTTGATCTCTCTGTACCTCAGTTCCCCACCTATAAAATGTAATATCCATGTTATAAATGAGATAATCTGTAGTAAACCACATAGATTATGGTAAATGTTAAGTAAAAGTTGCAGGTGTACAAATGATATCTTCAAAGACATAAATATCATATTTCTGCCTCAATGCACAAGCTACAATCACCATGCATAACACATGTGTGTTATACATATGCATGTGTGTTAAATTTGGAAGCTCCTGTCCTGCCCTCACATGTGAATTGCATGGGCTCTCATTGGCTTTTTGTCTGAGCCTCAGGGAGCTCCTTAGCTCCAGATGGCTATGCCTCTGCTTGAAAAGGCTCTCATTACCTAATGATCTGCAGAGCCTTAAGAAGCAGGATATCACTTTCCCCATGCTCGCATGTGCTGGTTTCATCATCTTTGGAGGAGTAAGACCTTGGCCCCATCTAAACAAGATGACTCCAGGCTAGCGTGGTGGTTGTGGGGTGAAGTACATTCACAGTTGAACCAAACCCCAAGAAGACAGTGGTTGCAAATGGGAAGGCACAGGGGCCCAGAGACGCTGTGCCCTTGGGAGGACTCCTAGGAAGAGGTGATGGCTGTTATTAGTGGTCTCTTCTCATACAGAGAGCAGATAGGGAGGGCACCCCAGGGAGTGGGCATATTCTGAAAAAAGGCAGAGGTGGCCTCCAGCTGAGCCACCCCTATGCCAAGCCTGAGGGACAGTCTTGCAAGGGCTCCTGGGATCTTAAAGAGTGGCTGCTCATTCAGGAAAATCCTGGGAGACCGGGAGCAAAGGAAAACAGATGCTGGGCCCCAGGACCTACACTCCAGGATCTAGGGCCCCATGGGGTGGGAGGGTCTCACAGAGAAGCCCAGTGTTAAAGATGCAGTAAGGAGTGGGTGTTGGGGTAAAAGGGGTGCTCTTATTTGTCAGACATGACAATGTGGAGCTCCTGTTGCCCAGCAAGGTGCATGCAGGGCCTGCAGAAGAAGTGGTCCCATGGCAGGCAAAAAAGAGGCACAACACACACAATAACCCAGCACCTACTACCCAGAGGTACTACACAGACCTGAATGCAAGTGCAGGGAGCACACAGAGATGCACAGATAGAACTGTGCTGTATTGTGGAGGGGCTCCACTACAGACACACACAGAGAACCATACACACATACACACACACACACACACACACACACACACACACACACATAAGGTGCATAGCTACAAAACAAGCACACATGGAGTACAGACACTGATGCAAATGCACTTTGCAAAGGGAAACACACCCACACAGCCCCAGAACCAAGGGCAGATCCTGAGAGCACACTTGGGCCACAGTGGGCCTTCAGCACAAAGTCAGTACCTACACATACATCAACACAGGCGTGGGAACCATGTCCAGATGTTACAAGACAGACACACAGGCTCTGTGTGGACCAGGATAACACATCTGATGTGTCTCGCTTTGAGCTTCCTCTAAGTACACCTGAATAGTGGTCCATGATGTGGGGTCCTCAGAGGCCACAGACTCTACTGTGTCTCCCATGGGGAGCACTGAACTCCCCCTCACACTATGACCCTTAATGGCCACAAGAATTCGGAACCATGATAGCAGCACCTCTTCACAGGGGGCAGTACCACACCAGTCCCAGTGCTCAGGGAGCAAGGGGCTTCACGGCTGGTCATGGCCATCAGGACCCAGAGGACATGCTCCTTCACACCACAGACAGAACCCATGGGTGACAGCTGAGGGACAGTGCCAGCCACACCCTCAGCCCCATGGTCCCTTGGGTTGCTCCAGGGGCATCTCCCAGGGCCTTGGGGTCCAGTGCTTCCTTGGGCTTCCCTGGCCATACCTGCAGTCCTTTCACTTCACCTCATGGAACTTTAACTGCTCCCAACTATCTCCCACTCCTGTGCCAAGGAATATAACTCCTCTTTCCCAGCTGCCTGCTGATTTGCAGATGACAGGGCTGGGAGTGCCTTCTTTGTAGATCCATGTGAGCTGGTGTGGTCAGGGAGGGCTTCCTGGAAGAGGCAAGTGGACATGAGGAGCTGTAATGGGGCCAGAGTGCAGGATGGTAAACAGACAACGAAATACATGTGGGTCCCAAATCAGGCCATACTGGGGCAGAATCTGCCTCTGTCCCTCCTTGGTCCTGAGACCTTGAGCAGATTCTTGGGCTCTCAGGACCCCATCTCCTTCTCTGGAAAGCATGTGAGGCTTAGATGAGAACAAGTTAACCCTTCCCCTTGGTAGAGGCTCAAAAACTGTCAGCCACTGTCCTCTTTATGGTCACTGTGACCGCTCTCCAAGACCCAGCCAATGAGATGAGGAGGCCAGAAAACAGCAGGGGCCTTGTGTCTGAGAGGGAGCAGAGGAGGAGGATCCTGAGGAAAATGGCACAAGAATCACATTCAGGCTGAGGCTCCCCTTCTGAGAACAACAGGAGGGAGACCCAGCCTGGGCAAAGTCTCCCCAACCTGACTCTCTGCCCTCTCCTATCTCAACCTCCATTCGGCCCCCAGGATTTTTCTAGACAAGCACAGTGGTGCAGCACTGCATGGGCAGCACCGGATCCTGGGAAGCAATAACTTCAGCACCCACGACGCAGACCATGACAACTGCGGCTGCAACTGTGCAAAGGCACTGACTGGAGGTGAGTTAGGGTCGGTGCTACTTTCCCTGCAGGCCCCACAGTCCCTTTCAGACCACCTCCCCTCCTAGCCCCGGCACTGAGGAAAGGCCAGGGAACAACCCTCCACCGGCGCCGGCTTAGACAGTGCTCCTGGGCTGCGACAGATGTCAGAGAGTGGGAGATGGGATGAGTCAGAGACAGAGCAGGAAGGACAGAGGAGAGACCTGAGCCTCAGAGACAGGGACAGAGAGAGACAGAGGCTGAGAGAAAGGAGAGCAGTGGAGACAGAGCTGCACTGGGCAGGGAAGGCAGAGGGAGAGCTGGAGAGGAAGTGCAGCCCTGGGCACAACTGGAAGAGGTGCCTGGGGACAGAGATCTGGGAGAGACAGAGTGACAGAGACCCGACACAGATGGCCCTCAGGGAAAGATACTCTGCTTGAGAGAGGCACACAGTGTGACACGTACCCAGAGATCACCAAGAGGGAGAGACTCACAAAGAGAGACAGAGGCCACCAGATACCAACAGCAAGTGACATGGAGCCATGAGGGATTCAGAAGGATGGGAGGTCAGTGAGGGAGCAGCACAGGAAACAGAGGAGTCTGGAGACTGCAAGGAGGGGCAGGGGCCCTGGAGAGGTGGCCAGGCTGAGGGGAGGGTAAGTTGTCCCCCATTCACCTCTTCACCCAAGTGGTTCCTCAAGGCTCAACAGCCCTGCTCATCTGAGTCCCCCTCTTCTACAGGGTGGTGGTTTGACACGTGTGGTGCCTCCAACCTCAATGGCCTCTACTACCCAGCTGGAGAGCACTTGCACAAGGTTGATGGCATCCGCTGGCACCACTCCTTCGAGGCTCCCACATATTCACTCCGCTCATCCCGCATGATGATCCGGCCCTTGCCCAACTGGTGAGCACAGTGTGGAGGCCACTCAGTGTTGTCTATTAGCACAGTAAGAGCAGCAATAGCATCTGCATCACACAGGTTCCTGAAGGTCAGGCAGACTGTGGGTGTGACCACCCCCAAGACTCTAGGTTCTCAATTCATGCTGAGAATGGCCCTGTGTCAGAGGACAGTAGTTTCCTACTGCATAAAATATTCAAGTCTGATGTTACACATGGCCCTGACTCTCTGTGAATGTTCCCAACTGACCTGACTTATTAAAGAATGTCATGTGGCTTAGAACAATGTGTCTGTGGATGGAGTGTGTGACTGTGGCATAGTGACCACCCTCTTTCAGCCTCTGTTCACTCTTCTATGAATGCAGTCCTCAGAGGATGGCAAGGATGATAGAGGCTATGATGTGTGTGTGTGTGTGTGTGTGTGTGTGTGTGTACATTGCACATGTATAAATAATGTTTGGGGGTAAAACTGTGGGGCCTGACATCCTTCCCTCTGCACAGAACAGGCTAAAAACACCCAGGCAGATGCATCTTCTGCATCTCTCACTGATTTTCTTCTCATACTCAGCAGGTAGGGCGCAAATAAGTAAGATAAATACTGTTGTTCAATGAGAGGATGCTGTGTCCTTTCTCCTGTCCTTCAGGTCCCCTCCAGAAGCTCAGAACCCTAGTGAGGGAGCTGGGAATTCAATCTGACCTGCTGGAGACCCTGCTGGACAATTCTTCAGACCAGGGCTCCTGTGGGCTGAGGAGGCAGAGAGGAGGGGATAGAGAACTGCAAAATATGTGGATCTCCCTACTTAAATAAAGTAGGGAAGTCTCCCTAGGTTTAGCTTTGTGAGACTGCTCTCAGTAGAACATTGTTTGGGACTCAGAAACCTTAGCCTCAAGTTGTGGTACATCCAAATAAGCCCTGTTTGCTCATTTGGCACACAGGGTACACCCAATACATAGCAGGCACTGTGCATGTCACCAGTGTACAAGACAAAAGCTTGGGGACGTTTATATCTCTGTGTATCTTTATAAAATGTTCCTACAGGGCTGTGATTTATCTTTTAACTTTGTTTAGTAAAACAGGTAACAGTAAGGGAGTGATTTTAGTTTGTTGGTTTCACATGGAGCCCAGAAAAGAGCCTGGCACATAATAGATATTCATGAAATACTGGAGGGATGAAGGGAGGGAAAACGGATGGATGGGAGAGATGAACACCAGTCCCTTAGAAACACAGTTTAGTCATCCATTTGACAGATGAGAAACTGAGAAACAGGAGGCAGAGAAGGACATGCCCCAGGACAAACAGAACTGGATAAGAATCAGCATCTGGAATCCTCTCCCTGGCACTAGGGTTTGAGGACAGAAAGCCTGTGTGGACAGGCAGAGCAGAATGTGGCCCTGGGGATGCTCCCCTGTTCCTCAGAAGGCAGGAGGCCCATCTGCATCCACAACTCTGTCATCTGTGGAAACCTGTGGGCCTCTGAGGCTGCTGGCTGGGAGGGTTTAGGGTGACCTTGAGCACTGCTCTGGCCAGCTGACATGTAGCTGGCCCCTTCCAATTCTCATGGACTCAGGCCAGCTTAACTCAGTGTTGGGAGCCCATCCTGTTCCAAAATGTACTTTCATTTCATGAAGTGATGACGGTGCTTATGTAGGACCTATTCAGAGATCTGGATTATCTCTAGGACTTAATATACTAATGTTAATAGCTATCAGTTGCTAAGCCTGCCTGGCTTTGTGCCCCAGCTTGCCACACAGAGCTGTGTGAGTCTGGGAAACTTATTTACCTTCTCTGTGCTTCAGCTTCCTTGTTTGTGAGAGGAGTTAATGTCACCCACTTCCAGGGTTGCTGGGACGGTAGGGTCCATGTTTGAGCTCCACGGCTGCTCACAGCTGTCCCATTGCAGTGCACCTGCCACCTGCCTGCCTGTTCTGGGGCCTGTCATACACGGTAGTGCTCTGAATATTAACAACAGTGTCTGAGAACATTATTAGCCCATTTGTGGAAAGGGAAATGGAGGCTTAGAGAGATTTGGCTGCATCTGAACTCAAGCTTCCATCTCCAGTCCCAGTCTAACTGATCCAAATTCTGTGCCATTTTCCTCTTGCATTCAGCACTGTGGCACTTTACAGGTGCCCAGACCCTGTGGACAGAAAGTGCAAACAAACCAGGCATGAGTCCTCACCCTCACTCTGTCCTGGCCTCAGCCACAGCTGCTCAGCTCTTTGGTGCCTGATGAACTGAGCTCTTCTATCTCATCATCTTTTGTTTTGGCTAAAAGGCTGAGATGTTCAAATGTCTGTACCAAGAACAAACCTTTGTTTTTCAGATGAGGAAACTGAGGCATCAGGATAACAAGGTGCTCTACCAGTGGTCAGTGTATGGGGCTTGGTTCCAGGTGCATAGTTCTGCTCACTACAGTGAAGCAGGGTGTTCATGGAGCTGACCCGGAACCTCTGAACATTTCTCTGTCAGCTTAGACTTGGGGATCACAGACTGTCATTTCCCCATGGACAGTCCCCCACCAGCCCTGGGATCCTGGTGCTCACATCCTCCCCAGGCTCTCGGGGCCTCTTGGGTTTGGACCCTTCCCTCCCTTGGGACGCTGAGCATTCTGATTGACTGGAGGTGCCCTGTCAGGCTCCCACCTGCTGTCAATGTCCTGTTTAGAGGAAACAAAAAGTTTTTCTTATTGTTTGTTTCTTTGTTCTCTTGTTTATTATACTGAGGGCAGAATCAAAAGAACATTGAGTTATGTTCCCAATGCTTTTTAAGTTTTATATTAAGACAGTGTGTCACTAAGGGACTAGGCTGTCCTCAGACGTTTGATTCTCATGCTACAGCCTCCTGAGCTGCTGAAATTATAGACCTGCACCAACACACCTGTCCAAACCAAAAGTTTTTAAAGCCTCCCAGAGGGCCGCAAAGCCTGGAGATGTCAGGTCCTATGCTCACCCTCAGATTAACAGCCCATCAGATCTCCCACGGCTGTGTAGTAAAAACAAGAGGAGCCACAACTTCCTGCGGGCAGCGGTTGGTCCAACCTTACAACTACTACGTGCCTCACTGGGAGACAGCTTACGGATCTTTGCCGGGTGTGTCCAGGCAGGATGCATGACCCATGTGAGCAGATTCTTGCCTCAGTTAAGGTCAAGCAGGCATGGGAGGAGGCAGTGGCTATAGCACAGCATGGAGAGGTGCTCACCTGAGCCCATGGGAGCTGGGTGCTGTGCTGTGTGTGGAGAATGGAGTGGCACCCAGGGGACACCGACAGGAGGCTGTGTGGCTGCGAGGTCACATGTTCAGGTTCTTCTGAACATGCAGTCTCCTAGGCCCTGGAGAAGGGGACAGTGGTCTGGACACTTTGGACTGTGCACACCTGGGAGCTGCAAACTGTCCTCAGTCTGACCCCTCACTGTCCCCAGGACCAACCCCTTGTTAGGGATAGTGCAGTGTGTCCCCAGACAGGAATGTGTAAGCCTCCAGTGGTGGTGACTGTCTCCCAGATGTGATGGTCTGAGTGGGCAAGTGGGTTTCCAGGTGTAATCAGTAACATGTGTCCATAGTACCAGGAGGGGATTGCAGGGTGTGCTGCACAGAGCTCCAAGAAGGACTCTCTGGCACGGTTCTGGCTTCCTCTGGGCACAGAGCAGGGACCAGCACAGGCTCACTGCGGGGAAAGGGGACAGTGGTTCCTTCCTGTACTCCCATCCTTCTCACTCCTGGGGAGCCCTCAGGCCAGCTGTGTGAAGTCCTCAGGCCACCATGACAGCAGTTATTCTCATGCCGGCACACTCCCCTGGGCACACCCCAAATATGAAGAAACCCAACCCCCCAAACTGGGTATCAAATAAATAGCTCTGCCCTGATTGTCAAAGGATCCCAGGCAGGTGGTGAGAATGAGAGTGACAGTGAGGTCGCTGAGACCCTGGAGCTGTCATCTTCTGCCAGCTGCTCACAACCTGCCTGTGAGGGTGACCTGTAAAATTCATTTCACAGATGGGGAAATAGAGGCCCAGAGAGGTCAGGGCACTGGTTCCAGGTCACGTAGGCAAGGGTAAGGGGCACAGCTTGGATTTGAACCCAAGCAGGCTGGCTTTTCACTGTGCCCCTGACAAGTGCCCTCGAAGTGTGGGCCCAGGAGCAGGAGCATCTCCTGGGGACCCATTAGCAATGCAGACTCCAGCCCCACCCAGACTCCCGAGTCAGCCACTCTGGGGTGAAGCCCAGAGATTTGCTGCACAAGCGCTCCAGGTGACTCTGGTACACACCCAAGGTTGAGAGCCCCTGTTCCCCTGGGGACAGTGGCACACATCTGACATGTCTAACTGCTCAGGAGGATGAGGTAGGGGAATAGCTTAAGCCCAGAAGTTTCAGGCTAGCCTTGGCAATATTCCTTCTTTTAAAATAAAAATAAAAAAGAACACCTTCATTAGATTCCTTCCTTCTCTAAGTGAATTGGGTGAGGGCCAGGCCGGAGCAGGGGGACAGACAGCAGCTGACCTTTGCCCCAGTTTCAGGGGCAGGAACAGGGAGTGGGAGCTCTGTGGCAAACTGGAGGGCATGCACTCCAGTTCTGCAGCTGCAGCCACTTACCGCCCCGCGAGGAGGCAGCTGAGCGTTGGGGGGACATTCTGGCTTTTTCCAGAGAAGTCCGATTCCAGCTTTGCAGTGTGAAATCTCTTGATTTGATAATGCTGGCCGTCTGTCCAAGTCAGTCGTTGAAAAAAAGAAAAAGCTGTGAGGCTGCAGTTCTTGGCCTCGGTACTGAGGACCTTTCTGTGACAGGCTCACTGGGCTGCCAAGCAGGTGGACTAGTTTGGGAAAACTTGTAATTCTCGGGGTCCCAGATGGCACCCTGAACCTTTAGACTTCAAGGGAAACTCTGCAGAGTAAATGTGGGCAGGAAATGAGATTTTGCAGGGGCAAAATTAAGTCCACTCCAAATTGCCAAACTGAATCTCAGCAACTGAAGAGGTCACTTGAAAACCTTGAGGCACTGAGTCCTATCAGTACATGGATATGGAACCATTCTCAGGATGACAGTGACCCTGAGGATGGACATTTTTCTGAAAGGCACGGGTCACTCCTTGTCCCCAGTAGAAAGAATAAACCTGCTCTTCAAGCAAGACCAAAGCTGCCTGCTAGAGTCTCCACCAGGGCTGTTCACTCTGTCCCAGCTATCCACGGTCCGTGTGTGTGTCAGGATAGTGAGGGGACAGAAAGGGAGCTTAGGTGTA